GCAATATGGAAAAAGCAATAGCCAAAGCCATAGCCACAGACAAAGCAAAAGCCTATTACAAAATCTGACGAGCAAGGGGAAATAAAAAACATAATAAAAACATTCGCTCTTTGTTCTAAGCAGTTCACGGGATGCTGGCAGCGGCTTTACAGCGCATGCGTGGCCGCAACTTCTCGGAACACTAGCAACAAAAAAAGCCTTTATGCATTTTGTGTGATGAGCAGGTCTTTATTGCACATCCAATATAAAGTATCTGCGCCTTTGTGCCCTTGCTTCCTGAATGAGCACAATATGCGGCCCTCTTCACACTCGCTCCTTTCCCCTTTGTTTATTTCCTTGCAAATCAATGAAGGCTGGCTTTCATCGGCTATTGCAATAATGAACCTCGTTTGTTCTTGTTTCCATCCTTTTGCATCTGCCGGCTGCTGGAGTATTGGGGGAAAAACTTTTACACCCCTCTGCTTTGCGCTCGACTGCGCTGCTTGTGCTTTACCATAAAAGCAGCAGCCACTGGCACCCGTCGTCCTGCTCAGCGCTGCCTTCCCCCCACACCTCCTCCAAACCTACAAGCACCACAGCATCATCCTCTTTACATTATTCCCCACTGCTCCAAAAGAACCAGCCTAACCTCCACTTGCCATGGACATTTATAAGCTCATCACGCTCAACCAGCCCTACACCACCTTTCCGCAGGCCCTTTACAAGTAAGCTGGCTCTGATTCACTTCTTCCCTTCGTTTATTGGGCTTTTGCCCATCCTGGATGGAGAGCCAAAAATACTGACTTTACCTTTTACATTTGTATTTTTCTCTTTGCAAACATCGCTTTTATAGGATCCTCGAAGAGGGGCACAGCTGGATCGAATGGAACACAGAAGGTACCAAAATCCGCTACAACGATCCCGAGAGACTCATGCGCGAGCTACAGACTCTTGGCTTCAAGGCCCAGGACTCGGCCTCGCTCAGCAAAAACTTTAACGACTACGGCTTCAAGCGCCTGAGCGATGCTCGCAAATCTCGCTACGATCCATGGAGGAGCAACTGGACTGTTTTTGCCCATCAGTGTTTTTTGCGCAGCGACTCTGAAAGCTCAAACAACATCCAGCGCCGTCGCGCTCGTCGCCCGCGTGTCCCTTCCAAAAAATCATCGCCTTGCTCCGACGATAGTGTGTGGTAGATGTCGCTCCACAAAAAAAGAAAAAGTACCACCACCCCAAAGGCTGTTCTTTTCTACCGTTCCATGCTGCATTCTTACTCTCCAGACTTGCCTCGTCTTGTTCCAAATGCTGATCATCAAAGGTGCATGGCATCAAATACCGCCGATATTGACAGAATCTCTCCCCTCACTTTCTCATGTCTTTATCGGCCATTGTATAATTCCACACAAACTCATTTTTTTCCTTTCCCATATCTGCTTGTTTATATTGTTCTCAAAAATAAAATGGTTTACATTAAAGCACAATGTTTTCTGCAACGAGAAATTGCACATGTATTTCGAGCTCCTGCAATTAGGCTGCTACGTCACTTTCCATTTTCTACAAAAAGTAATATCCAAATCCCCGAACCAGAGAAAAAATATTGAAGGATCAACACACATCCCAAAAGAACGACTTTTAATTTCCAAGGACACACACCCCCCCCATCAACACCTTGGACCGCCTTTGGGGGGGAATACAGGTTGAGAAAAATGCGACGACCGGGAATCGAACCCGGGACGAGTGCTTGGGAAGCACCAATTTTACCTCTAAACTATCGTCGCTTTTGCTTTCGAGGAATTTTAAATAATATACTTTCCAACTAGTCGTTAAGAAATCACCACAAGTCATCAAACTTTCAAGTCGATTCAAAACTATTCAAAACAAAGCTAGTTCTATTTGTATTTACTCATAGAAATTGTGTTTACTCATCATCGGCTATGAAAAACATTTCAATCTGTTTACGCAGGTGCTCCTGTTTACTGCCGCTATCAGTGCTTGACATAGCTGCCGAGTCCTGTGTCGAGTTCTGATGTATGCTATGTTTGTAGCTAGAGGCGTTACCACTAGGAAACAAAGTCCCCGGCGCAGCCGAATGGACAATGTTTTGGCATGAGTAACAGACCAGGCTAGTGATGTCAGCTGATACCGAGTCTTCTTTATTGCAAAATGAACCCGCGGCGCTTGTTTTAGACCGACCAGCCAGCTCGGTGGCAGAGCCCTGGCTGACGGTAAGCCGACTTCTCCATTCCTGTGCATCCTTTTCCACGGGCATCTTGCACACAAGACAAGGCAGTGCATCCAATGCCTGCTGCTGTGGCTCAAGCTTTTGCATTGTCCGACAGATTGTGGAGACGGTTGATGCAAAGTCCCGATCCAGTCCGACCACAAACGATTCGGTCAAGCGGCCAATAGATGTACGCATTGGTGCGCCGGTAGTAAATGTTGGCACCACAACGATGCTCTGGTTGGTCCATTGGTTGAAGAATGCAATCTCCTTCATAATAAAATCACGCATAGGACGGTAGACCAATACATCGCTAAACCAGGACGACTCTGCGCCAACCTCAAAGGGCAAGGAAAACCCACGACCGCGACTAGCAAGCGATACTATCTTTGTTGCTATGCGCGTTCCCGAATCGCCCACTAGCAGAACACCGCATTTCTCCTTACGAGCAAGCTCAACAAGCATGATCGTTTTAAGAACATCCAGCATTTCCTCGCGATCGGTGACTGTCGCTAACCCAGAAAACAAAGATTGGAGCTGGTCCTTGCTCGAAGCACTTTCATCAGGCTTTACTAGCTGAGCACGTATGCGGTCCTTTAGTTCGTTGGGGGCATCCACTTCACTAACTGTTTTCATAAAAGCCGATGCTTCACGATCACGACAGAAAACGTCCTCCAGTTTGGCAACCTTACACTCTATGTCGGCGTTTGCAGCAATATCGCAAATAAGGCTGTCTCGGACGTCTGGGAAAAGTGCCGTCTCATCAATGTGTCCAGCAACTACATCTTCGTAGAGAGGCTGTGCTGCAGTCCCTTTTATATGCATGCACTGGAAATCGGCCATCATTCTGAGCATAGCGCTGGACGACGGACCGCCAGAGAGCGCCACCATCAATTTTGTTCGTGTAGTAGCTGGAGAATTCTTTCGCGACCGATTCGTGGCTGTACGAAATTTTACAATGCACGCACGCACAAAGCACTCCTTGCAGTAAAGTGAGCGGCGGATTGTAATGTTGGGATTTGCGACCTTGCACTTGACACACATCCCGGGAACTCTCTTGCGGTCATATTTGGTTGGGTCGATTGGAGGTGGTGGTGCCTTTTGGAGGTCGGCGTGCACGTCATCTGAATCGCACATTGTTTTCGTTTTAGACAATGGTAACAAGACAAAACTACTAGATGACAAAGTGGTTTTGGACTTTGTGTCAAAAAATACTGCACCAAAAGCGTTTGAATGACTTTGTCAAATTTTCAATAATACAAGCTATGGGTGCCAACGGGCGTATACACGTGCAGATGATCCAGATTGTGAGTCACTGGACAAGAGAAACAGGTTAGTCACAAAGTTCATTTGCCTTTGGTGCTAAGGGCTCGACATCTCTCTTTTCTTTTCTTTTTTGCTCGATCCTTGTCATTTTCAGTGAGTTTAGTTATCTCTTCTATTTCATTGCAAATCCAATTGCAAAGAGCTCTACAATTTTCTATTGTTTTACAGAAACGATCAGCATATTATATCCTTTGCACAGAAAATGCCTGCTTCCTGCTCGTTTGATGCCAAGCGCATTGTCCGTCCGAATATCCAAAAGCTCGTGCCATACCGCTGTGCACGCGATGACTACAGCGAAGGGATTCTTCTCGATGCGAACGAGAACAGCTATGGACCGGCGTTCCAGGTAAGCATAACAGAGAGCAAGGAGGGAAGTGGCAAACTAAAGATCGAGTCTCAGGCTGATGACCGACAGCTGCACAGGTACCCAGACCCATTTGGGCGAGAGGTGAAGCAGCGGATCTTGAAGCTGCGGCCAAGCGTTCCCAGTGTTGACAACATCTTTCTGGGTGTTGGGAGCGACGAGGTGATTGATCTGCTTGTGCGGATCATATGCCAGCCAGGCAAGGATGCAATTATGATAACACCGCCGACGTACGGGATGTACAAGGTGGTTGCCAGCATCAACGACGTTGATGTGGTAAAGGTGCCGTTGGTTGTTGAGGGCGGATCGTTCCAGCTCGACGTCGATGCGGTGATCGAGACAGCGCTGGGAAACTCGGCAATCAAGATCATCTGGCTGTGCTCGCCAGGAAACCCAACAGGCACGTATCTGAGGGAAGACGATGTGCGCAAGGTCCTTGAAAGCGGGTTTACCGGCCTGGTTGTTGTTGACGAGGCATACGTCGACTTTTTGCGCGCAGACAAGGGCGAGTCGTATGCAAGGCTTGTGGGCGACTACCCAGGCCTGTTTGTGATGCAGACGATGAGCAAGAGCTTTGGGCTCGCAGGCATCCGTCTTGGGGTAGGCATTGGCGGCAGTGAGATTGTCAGCTACCTGAACAACGCCAAGGCGCCATACAGCGTGTCCACCTTGTCGCTGGACGTGGCTAAGGCTGCACTTTCCGACGAGAGTGTGGAAAAGATGCGGCGCGTGGTGGCTGACATTGCAGAACAGCGCGACACGTACCTGATCCCGGAGCTGAAGAAACTCCCGCACGTAGGCGGCATTATCGGAGGCAACGACGCCAACTTTGTGCTTTGTCGCTTTGTGGATAGCCAGGGTGCAGCGTCGAACAAGACTGCCAAGGAGTTGTATGAGGAGATGGCGGAGAACCAGGGTCTCGTCGTGCGGTACCGCGGGTCGGACTACGGGTGCGAAGGATGCCTGCGAGTAACCGTCGGAACAGCCGAGGAGAACAAGGTTGTGATTGACACGATGAGCAGGCTGCTTTCACAACAGTAAGGTGCCCACCACTTCAAATAGCATCAATTAGGAATGTAAATCTAATCTATATGTCCTTGTAATAGAGAATCGTTCCTTGAATGCAGCACACAGTGATTGTGCCGGTAGGTGAATCATCCCCATCCCCTCCTGCCTGCAACACCGAAGCTATGCACTAAGTAACGGGGTTGGAAAAGAGTAAGGAATTAGAGTGGTTGGGCCAGTTAGCGGTTGTATGAGAGCCGTTTCCTTGTGTCATTCCTTGGACTCGTGACCACTGGCAGGGGCATATAATCCACTTCGGCTAAAATATCCGGGGAGGTTTACTTTGAAGCAATCCGGCACTTGCCAGGATGTTTTATCTTATTAATTTGACGTGGCCATGTACAAACTTTTAAACAGAATATGGAAAAGTATTTTGCGCATAACATAATAAGCAGGGTTTTTGTGTGAGGAGCGAATTGGCTGACTCGCTGGCCGAGTCATGGCGTTCGTTGGTGGCAGCAGAAAGCAGGGAGAGGGGGAAGGAGCACGTGCCCATGCGAGGATCACGAGAATTACATTTTCAAGTCGCTGTGAATAGCAAGCAATTGTTGTTGCTGGAGCTCAGGTGCAGCTGTGTCAGAAGACACTTCCTCTCGCGGATAAGAAGGGGGTAAGACTTCAAGTCCTTCTCTTCCGTTCTCTGCAACACCGCAAAGCTTACTTTTGTACTTTATTTCATCTTTAAACATCGCCTCCGTTCCAGAGCGCAGCCTACCCCAACCGCAAAAGGCAAGTACACATGCTGCGCACTAATGATGCTCATCGACTTTCCGGGTCTTTTGCAGCGAGCATACACGTCACTCCTCTCCAGCGCTTGTTTACAGCAGCTTTGCTTGGCATTTCAGGCAACCGCCGATGTTTGCGAGCGAGCGAGGGTCTTAGCTGGCAAAACAGGTGTCACATATCCATTCTCCAACACACGAGTTACTGCCATTGTGTAGAAGCAGATACTCCACTTCCCACGCACCCGCACCCACGCAACCAAGCGAGCGTTTGTCGCTGGCTGAGAGAGCGCACATACATCTTTTCCTGCTGTTGCGCACAGCCCTGGGCTGCTACCGAAGTTGGCTCTATCTTGTTCTCCAAACGCACGCGCTGTGCTTTCCGACTTGTGGGCGGGGCGCGAAGCGCATGTTGTAGTCTCCACTGTGCTAACATGCTGAGGAGACCTCCGTTTATTTGCAATGCCGCCATATTTCTACTGCTCCCCTCTTCTTCTTTTCCAATGTGTGGCTGATTGCTTGTTCTCCTCACTCTATAAAGTGTATTAATTGCTGATTGTATTCGTGTTTCATCTCTTGTCTTTCCTCATATAGTAGTTTGACTGAGCTACGATAACTGGGAGTTACACTGCCGCCTAGCTTTCCCCAACACATTCGCTAAATATGCCTGTGATAACGCATCGACGCGTGAACGAGATGCGAAGCAGCCGCCGACGGCTCAGCGTTGGCGCCTTTGGTGCTTATTCCGCAAGCGCTGCGTCCGGAACCAGTCCTCGCAGTGGCACCTTCAGCTCCGCGCGCCATGCCATGTCTCGCAGCCCAGCCGCGTCAAAAGAGTATGTAGAACGCAAAGCAGGCACTCTAGAGCGCAGGTCGTCGGTGCGCTCGATTGCAACCTCATTTGACAGCAGCGCTGCACAAGCATCAGACGGACATGCGCTTTCTTCCACCGGTTCGTCGTCAGAACCCACTTCGCCTCAGCTCCAAAGCTTTGTGCAGTCTGACCATGGCCGAGCTTTAAGGGGTATACCGCCAGATGACATGCAGCTAACACGTTTGAGCGCCAGAAACGCTTCTCAA